CTGGGCTGATTCCTCACCATTCTCATTATTATTGCAACTCCACAAGGTGAGATCTTGCATGGAGCCCCAGGCAGACGGAGATTGACAGTTCTTTTGGTGTTTCTTCCATTTGCGAATAATCGCACCAACTGTTGTCACCTTCTCACCAAGCTGCTTGGCGATGGTCTTGTAGCCCATTCCAGCCTTGTGTAGGTCTACAATCTTGTCCCTGACATCCTTGGAGAGCTCTTTGGTCTTGGCCATGGTGGAGAGTTTTGAATCTGATTGATTGATTGCTTCTGTGGACAGGTGTCTTTTATACAGGTAACAAGCTGAGATTAGGAGCACTCCCTTTAAGAGTGTGCTCCTAATCTCAGCTCGTTACCTGTATAAAAGACACCTGGGAGCCAGAAATCTTTCTGATTGAGAGGGGGTCAAATACTTATTTCCCTCATTAAAATGCAAATCAATTAATAACATTTTTGACATGCGTTTTTCTGGATTTTGTTGTTGTTATTCTGTCTCTCACTGTTCAAATAAACCTACCATTCAAATTATAGACTGATCATTTCTTGTCAGTGGGAAAACGTACAAAATCAGCAGGGGATCAAATACTTTTTTCCCTCACTGTAACCCTTGACACATCAAAACCTGACTCTAACCTCACACACAAGACACTAAGGTCAACATCTACAAGTCAGTTGGCACGTACAGTTGGCACATTTACTGTACATAAAACACAATGTGTTATGTATTGAGTCAGTGCAGCACACCGATTTAAAATCCAACAGGAAAACATCTGAGTGCATCGCTAGCATATCCCATTGTATGTCTGTCTTAGCTTTTCCACTCATGTCTATGCTCACTCTGTCCTCCTGACCCCTCTGCTTTGGGGACTCTTTGCTGAGCGAGTGAGGATGGCTGTGGATACAGAAGTGCACTCACACTCACATCCCAGATAAAAAGCCCTTCCTTTCTCCATCCCGGCAGCGGACGCCTTTCAAAACACACACACAAGCATTTCAAATCTTTGTGCTTGTGTATTGATAAGCACACCAAAGATGGCATTAACGATAAGTAATACAATTAAGTTAAAGTTAAACTTTATGACTATAATTATCCTATTTACACTTTGTAGTCAATTTTGGCAATAGAATAAGTGTTTCTGACTCATATTGATGCCACAAGGGATTTGTTGCTTTTTAAAAGCAGTCGCTCTTTAAAGATAGAAACCTTAATTAAAACAATAATAAAGCCTGTACCACGCCTCTGTTTTGGTAAAAAGCTGAGGGATGGGCCTGGAGAAATGTAACCACTCTCAAATTCATAGACATAGCTATGGATACAAGGACTGATACATACTGATGCATCATACAGTAGATTCAAGATCACAAATGCATCTATTGTCTCATGAATATAGTATAAGTTAATATTTTGTATACAGTAGGTTTCTCTCATTCTTTCTTTTTCCCACTTATGCCCCTCTTCTACCTCTTCCTCCACCTCCTTCTCTAGGCCCACTCTGGTCTGGGAGCACAGTGCAGTGCTCTGTGGAGTCTCCAACTTGTTGAGTGTGGATTAGTCAGCCCAGACCAAGAGCTTTCTGCTGGATGAAGAAAACAGTACAGGCAGCACAGATGGGTGGAACTGCCCCCCGTTGGACTGCACACAGTGGTCACAGTGTTCACAGTGTACAGGGAGCGCTGCCAACTTTTGAAGAAAGCTTGGAGTGAGATTTGTTATGTGAATTTAATTGCCCCCTGGCACAACCACTAGATGGGGGTTTTAAAGTTCATTTCCTGCAATTCTACATATTTTGACATTGCTTAGGCTTATGACCAGGTTTAAAAAACATTGTATATTCAGGATGCTTTGAACATTAAATGAACACTCAACATTTTACAACTTTGTTATTTTGAGATGTATTTATTTTTAAAAAAATTTTGGGGGGGGGTGAAATTGAATGGATGCTAATATTTTTTAAATACATTTTTTAAGTGTTTCAACACTTTATTCTGACAGTTAATGGGAGGCTAATGGGAGAAACAGTGGGAAGGTTGGAAGCAGGGATTGATCCCTGTTCTCAGGTGGAAAGTATGAAACATGTGCCGGGGAACGTTACCGTTACACCAAGGCTCTGCACAGGAAATACTCATATTAATGGTTGATGGCAGTGGGTAACCAAATCATATTTTGCAGTCTACTTGTCCATAGAATGCTTTCAAGGTAAGGACTCAAACATTATGTATTTTGTAATTTGGGTGAACTCTTTTTAAAATAGGGCTGGAAGGCAATCCTGCTTGCTCTCCTGGAGGGTTGGCCACCCCTGATCTATGTTTTCCAAGTGCTGAGTGTTGAAAATGTTCTTGTTATAACAATTAATTTATCAAAATCACCAAACCTTTAAGAAAAATCTAATGAATATCAATATTAGTTTATGCCTACTAGTTGAAGATCCTTGCCATCATCTTACTCTACATAGACAAAATATGATGCTTTTATGCGTTATGAGGCCCCCTACCATCTCTGCTTAGCATGTGCACAATGTTAAAATGTCCTAAATTATATTTGAGGCCTGGAGCATTTAATATCCAATGCTTATCTGTATGACTTATTCAACACTGTTCATGAATGGCTGCAAATATCCATAGCCTCATATAACTCATTTTCAAAGGCAAAAGTAGGCATATCAGATTTCAAATATGTGATTACAATGGCAACATTGGGAAGAAGTGGAATAATACAATAAGGGTGGGGAATAACTGTAGTGTTCTTGCTAACAAGCACAGTAATTACCCTATATTTTAGCCCATTGTTAAGAATGAGAATTGTTCCACTGATCAGACTAAATAAAGAATAAAATCTCCAGAAAACAAGATTACATTAATCTGCCCCTACACTCTAAACAAACTATTTTTCTATGTATTGTCCCCCCTCTAGAATCAAACTTACACTTTTGGGTTCACAATCTGTTTGACAAAATGATTTTCATAGTTACAAATCAGGTCACCCTACCAAACTTCCCTGCTAAAACATACTGTAGGTCTGTCTGCTGCTGCCTTTTCGTTGTCACAGCCTAAATGCCAATCACCAAACGAGGGGACTAATGAAAGTGGGGATTAAATCAACTTTAGTACATACTGTCAAAAGGCTGCATTCTGCAATAGGGACGGGAATAACAGCAACCTAATTTTGTTGACAACATTGTACCTAAAATAGAGCTACCGTGCTACTCTTTTTACAGTTTTATTAACACAGTGGAGAACGTTCTCTCTCAGCATTCAGCTCCACTCTAATCTTGAGAAGCGTTTCATTAAAACATGCATCCAATCCCTGCTCCAGAATCTCCCATAATGGTTCATTTGGGTTGAGATCTGGTGACTGAGACGGCCATGGCATATGGCTTACATCTTTTTAATGCTCATCAAACCATTCAGTGACCACTAGTGCCCTGTGGATGGGGGCATTGTCATCCTATGGCGGCAAAGCCATGGTCGCCAAAATAATGGCCTGCCCAGCATTTTTATACATGACCCTAAGCATGATGGGATGTTAATTGCTTAATCAACTCAGGAACCACACCTGTGTGGAAGCATCTGCTTTTAATATACTTTGTATCCCTCATTTACTTAAGTGTTTCCATTATTTTAGCAGTTACCTGTACATACATACAAAGTACCTGTTATAAAGGTCTCGTCTAAAAATAGAGCTCTTTTGCCGGTTTGCCGTTGAAAAACGGAAGTGTATGCAGAAAAGTACCTCATACCTACGGTAAAATATGGTGGAGCATCTTTGATGTTATGGGGCTATTTTGCTTCCACTGGTCCTGTGGCCCTTGTTAAGGCCAACGGCATCATGAACTTTATCAAGTACTAGGACATTTTAGCCAAAAACCTGATTGTCTCTGCCAGGAGGCTGACACTTGGCCGCAAGTGGATCTTCCAGCAAGACAATAACCCCAAGCACTAATAAAAATCCATAAAGAAATGGTTAATTTACATTTTGCAATGGTCATCTCAGTCTCCGGACCCCATTGAAAACCTGTGGTTTGAATTGAAGAGGGCAGTCCACAAGAGCAGATGAAGGATATCAAGGATCTGGAAAGATTCTGTATGGAGGAATGGTCTAAGATCCCTCTCAACATGTACTCCAATCTCACAAAACATTTTAGAAAAAGGCTTTGTCATTATCCTCGCAAGGGGAGGGTGCTGGAGTATTGAAAACAGGGGTGCCAATAATTCTGACCCCTTTCTTTTTAAAATGTGTTTTATTACTCTTTCTCTGAGCAATTATATTAGTATAAAATCATATAATTACCCAAAAATGTTTTGCATACAATATATCTCAGTATTTGTGTTATTTATTTTAAACAGTCTTTTTTGCAAATTTTTATAAAGGATTACAATAATTATGGACCTGACAGGAGGTGTGCCAGACATACTGTAAGCTAGCTATGTGCCCTATGATACACAGCACATCATACAAAAATAAATCATCACATAGAAAATGTGTGCATGTTCCAAAGCTCACATGTAGGCATCGGATTTATACAAAAGTGGATTCATCCAGCTCTAACATATATCCGTAACTACTGGATCTAAAATGATGTTTGATTCACATTGTCACTGCTATTATTCACCTTACTTTATTATCACTATCACTTGCATAGAATGTCTAGCAGCATTTCAAACAGGCGGTTCAATGCCTTCTTCTAGTGTAATACTTACACAATTATGAGAAGTAGCAGTAAATAATAGTAATCAACAAGATGTCTAAATGGTGTGGTCCTCTGTAGCTCAGCTGGTAGAGCACGGCGCTTGTAACGCCAAGGTAGTGGGTTCGATCCCCGGGACCACCCATACACAAAAAAAATGTATGCACGCATGACTGTAAGTCGCTTTGGATAAAAGCGTCTGCTAAATGGCATATATAAATGATTAAAAACATTGCCAATTACACATATTGTATGTCAGATACCATAGTAGGATGTGCCCGCGTGTGTGTGTCCTTTCATCAAAACTTGAGTTTGTGCTCAACAGGGCGAGGAGCAGGAGGCAGGCCCAGCCCATTAGGAGGCCAAGGTTCTGCAGAAGGAACATGAGACAGGGCCTGTTGGTCTTCACACGACTCATCTCTGGAAGCTGAGAGACAGAAAGGGGAGGAGAAGGAGAAATGAGGGTCTGGGAGTTTGAGTACATCTCTCTATCACAAATCACCTGTGAATTGAAACAATCTATTACCTATCAATAGGGCCAGAAGATTTTCTTGACTGTGTGAGCTGACTGATCAGTGGGACACACGGTCTGGTCAAACTCCTGTCCCTACCTATCAGTGTGTTTTACTAAGAACAGCAGTAGCCCAGTCTCACCATCTCTACCAGTGAGAGATAGAGGAAGATCCCCGTGGTAACCGTGAAGATCCACTGCTGGACCTCTGGTTCTGAGGAGACGAAGAGGCCGTCAGAGCACTGTGTTTATGGAGTCAGAGCACTGAGTAAGTTCATCATCACTGCATTCCTCACGGAGAGACCTGAGATGAGCAACACCGCAAAGTCACCTGAGATGGAGAAAGAAGGAGAAGAAGATGCTATTTTAATTCATTTGGGACCAGCGTGTTCAGTTCTTCACAACTGGGACAAATATTACTCAAGTCATGTTTGGTTTTGGTTCGACAAAGGGACCCAGAGAAGAACAACAACGCTGCCACCCAATGCCAACAACCTTTGAGCCACTGCTCTGTGACTTGTGACGTCTCACCCATTTCATGAGGGATTTCGTGGCAGAGGATGGCCACGGTGGTCGCCATGCCTGTCTCGGCGGATTATGAGAAGGCCGCACCCACCACCAAGCCATCAGCAAAGTTATGGAGGCTGTCTCCCACGATAACCATCACAGCCAGTACAGGAATACCCTGTCCTGGGAACACAAAGAAAGCCTGTCTGTGTGGCGGCTCTGTCCTGAAAGCCCATCCGCTACGCTTCCTAGCCCACTAATTACACACAGCACACTGGACAGAACAATACAGAACAGGATCAAATTAAACAGGGAGAGAACTGAGGGGACAATGAGTGAAGATAAATGAAAAAGGAGGATGAGGAACCTACTCGTCTGATATGTAGGGGTTCTTGGTTCAGGCTCCTCTGATGGGATTTCTGTGCATTCTAAGTCATCCACAGTTCACTGTAGGGGAGTGACAACTAATAGGATTGTTCCTTTCAATACACTTCATTACAATTACATCACGTTACTCCCATCCATACCAAAATCAGCAAATCAGTGACCACAGTTCTCCCTGCCTATATTTAAAACACTCTAGAGAAAGTGAACCAGAATGGTTCAGTTTCCCTATCTCCTCCTACACTATCTGCATAAGGCCTGAATGATTCAACAGCAGCATCAAGGTCTCCTACACCATGGTCTGTTTCACATTTACTCCCACCCACACCACTGTTCACTTTCCCTGCAATACATCACTCTGTAGATGTCTACATCAAAGCTCAAACTGTTAAAAATGTTGCCCAAATAATTGTGAATCCTATAGGCCTACCGCCTTTGAATTCCTGTGCTTTTATATTAGCCTCCCACCCCCACACAGTGATGACAGCACATTGTCAGATCAACACTCCTACTCCCACTCCAAACCTCCCCTAGCTTTGTCTTGTCTGTGACAATGAGGGCTGGTAAATATCACACATTTTGTAACATTTTGGTTAATTTTGGATAATTTTTTTCAGCTCAAATTTTAATAATGTGAACAGGAACACAGTCATACCACTGCAGTCTGCCTCTCTTCAAAGCAGAAACCTCAAAAGCTTTAAACAAACATTGTTTTCCTTTCACAGATAGCTCAATTCCAAACAAACCCAAAAAGGGACTTTTGCGTGAGGATGCAGCTTCAATTGAGTTATCTATTTCTGCTTTCATTTGAGGAAGTGGAATAGGGTTAATACTATATACAGTGGGGAAAAAAAGTATTTAGTCAGCCACCAATTGTGCAAGTTCTCCCACTTAAAAATATGAGAGAGGCCTGTAATTTTCATCATAGGTACACGTCAACTATGACAGACAAATTGAGAGAAAAAAAATCCAGAAAATCACATTGTAGGATTTTTAATGAATTTATTTGCAAATTATGGTGGAAAATAAGTATTTGGTCACCTACAAACAAGCAAGATTTCTGGCTCTCACAGACCTGTAACTTCTTCTTTAAGAGGTTCCTCTGTCCTCCACTCGTTACCTGTATTAAAGGCACCTGTTTGAACTTGTTATCAGTATAAAAGACACCTGTCCACAACCTCAAACAGTCACACTCCAAACTCCACTATGGCCAAGACCAAAGAGCTGTCAAAGGACACCAGAAACAAAATTGTAGACCTGCACCAGGCTGGGAAGACTGAATCTGCAATAGGTAAGCAGCTTGGTTTGAAGAAATCAACTGTGGGAGCAATTATTAGGAAATGGAAGACATACAAGACCACTGATAATCTCCCTCGATCTGGGGCTCCACGCAAGATCTCACCCCGTGGGGTCAATAATGATCACAAGAACGGTGAGCAAAAATCCCAGAACCACACGGGGGGACCTAGTGAATGACCTGCAGAGAGCTGGGACCAAAGTAACAAAGCCTACCATCAGTAACACACTACGCCGCCAGGGACTCAAATCCTGCAGTGCCAGACGTGTCCCCCTGCTTAAGCCAGTACATGTCCAGGCCCGTCTGATGTTTGCTAGAGTGCATTTGGATGATCCAGAAGAGGATTGGGAGAATGTCATATGGTCAGATGAAACCAAAATATAACTTTTTGGTAAAAACTCAACTCGTCGTGTTTGGAGGACAAAGAATGCTGAGTTGCATCCAAAGAACACCATACCTACTGTGAAGCATGGGGGTGGAAACATCATGCTTTGGGGCTGTTTTTCTGCAAAGGGACCAGGACGACTGATCCGTGTAAAGGAAAGAATGAATGGGGCCATGTATCGTGAGATTTTGAGTGAAAACCTCCTTCCATCAGCAAGGGCATTGAAGATGAAACGTGGCTGGGTCTTTCAGCATGACAATGATCCCAAACACACCGCCCGGGCAACGAAGGAGTGGCCTCGTAAGAAGCATTTCAAGGTCCTGGAGTGGCCTAGCCAGTGTCCAGATCTCAACCCCATAGACAATCTTTGGAGGGAGTTGAAAGTACGTGTTGCCCAGCGACAGCCCCAAAACATCGCTGCTCTAGAGGAGATCTGCATGGAGGAATGGGCCAAAATACCAGCAACAGTGTGTGAAAACCTTGTGAAGACTTACAGAAAACGTTTGACCTGTGTCATTGCCAACAAAGGGTATATAACAAAGTATTGAGAAACTTTTGTTATTGACCAAATACTTATTTTCCACCATAATTTGCAAATAAAATCATTAAAAATCCTACAATGTGATTTTCTGGATTATTTTTTCTCATTTTGTCCGTCATAGTTGATGTGTACCTATGATGAAAATTACAGGCCTCTTTCATCTTTTTAAGTGGGAGAACTTGCACAATTGGTGGCTGACTACATTTTTTTTTTCCCCACTGTAGCTTCTGTCCTCCATTGATGCAGTCACTGTACATACTTTTTTTTAAGGGCTGCCAATTACACTTTTGGAGTAGAGTATGGGTGCCAGATAGAGACTAACAGACTCACCAGCTGCATGGTGGAGATGGACTTGCCCCTCTGTGACTGGTCATTGCAGTTAATCTCCAGGGGAAGGTCATGGGAATGGCCCAGGTCCCCGTGACCCTGCTGGAGAAAAAGAGACTCATCAGTCTCCAGTCACTCTGTGGCCATGAGCCATCAGCCACCTGCACAGTCAGCTCAGCTCAGGCTGTGTCCCAAATGGCACCCTATTCCCTATATAGTGCATTACGTTTGACCGGGGCCCATTGAGCTCTGCTCAAAAGTAGTGCACTATGTACGGAATAGGGTGCCATTTGCGATTTAGCTTTAGTCTGGGTTCAGCCAGGGCCAATCGGGAACCCACAGATAAGCACTATCATGACAAACTGTAATGAATGACAGGATTTCCACAGCAAACGTTCAGACATAGACATGCTGGTTATTCTGAAGAGTGAAACAGTGATTGTTATACGGAGTTATTACCTCCTTGTGTTTTGTTGAGTTACCACAGGATGTTTCTTATTTTCAGGCCTGTTGGTCATTTTTCAGCTAACAGTTACCCACTGCTGGTGGGTAATAACATTAATAACATTAACATTCATTGTGCTAAATTGGAAGACGGATATGCCAACTGTCACACCCTGGCTCTGGGGACTCTAATATGTTGAGTCAGGGTGTGTAGAGTCTATGTGTTTTGGTTCTACGTTCTATTCTAGTATTTGTGTTTCTATGTTGGCCAGTGTGGTTCTCAATCAGAGGCAACGATTATCAGCTGTTGCTTGTTGTCTCTGATTGGGAGCCATACTTAAGCAGCCAGTTTTCCCACAGTGTTTGTGGGATCTTGTTCCTAGTAGGTTGTGTTTGATCTAAGGACGTCACGTTATCGTTTTGTTGTTTTCGTTCGTGTTATCTTTCAATAAATAAGTATGTTTGCATTCAACGCTGCGCCTTGGTCCTCTGTTCCCGACGATCGTGACAGAAGATCCCACCAAAACTGGACCAAGCAGCGTGTCCAGGAGCCATCGCCAGGGGAATCGCTAGCGGATCTCCGTGGCAACCTCGACTGGGTCAAGCCTAGTGAAGAGCAGAGAGGGTGGACTTGGGAGCAGTGGAGGAAGAGTCTCGACTGGGTCAAGCCAAATGAAGAGCAGAGTGGTTGGACTTTGGAGCAGTGGAGGAAGAGTCTGGCGAGAGATAGGGAGGCTTGGTCCACGGGGAGGAGAGACACCCAGACATTTCTTAGGGGGGGGCTCACGCCGTGGACGACGGGGCAGCAGGAGGCCGCGATGGAGCGGTCCAGCGGGTTTGCAGAGGAGGCCGCCAGGTTAAGGTGGCCACTGGTCACAGAGGAGAGGGAAAGTGTAGAGGCACGGCAAGAGGTACTGGGGTGTGTTACCAGTCCGGTCCGGCCCGTTCCTGATCCCTGCGTAGGGCCAGTGGTGTGTGTCCCCAGTACGGTCCGGCCTGTTCCTGTTCCTCGCATCGAGCCTGTGGTACGTGTCGTCAGCCCGGCCCGGCCTGTTCCTGCTCCCCGCACCAAGCCTATGGTGCGCGTCACCAGCCCGGCCCGGCCTGTTCCTGCTCCTGCTCCCCGCACCAAGCCTATGGTGCGCGTCGCCAGCCCGGCCCGGCCTGTTCCTGCTCCCCGCACCAAGCCTATGGTGCGCGTCGCCAACCCGGCCCGACCTGTTCCTGCTCCCCGCACCAAGTCAGTGGTGCGCTTCGTCAGCCCGGTCTGGCCCGTTCCTGCTCCCCGCACCAAGTCAGTGGTGCGCTTCGTCAGCCCGGTCTGGCCCGTTCCTGCTCCCCGCACCAAGTCAGTGGTGCGCTTCGTCAGCCCGGTCCGGCCCGTTCCTGCTCCCCGCACCAAGCCTATGGTGCGCTTCGTCAGCCCGGTCCGGCCTGTTCCTGCTCCCCGCACCAAGCCTATGGTGCGCTTCGTCAGCCCGGTCCGGCCTGTTCCTGCTCCCCGCACCAAGCCTATGGTGCGCATCGCCAACCCGGCCCGACCTGTTCCTGCTCCCCGCACCAAGTCAGTGGTGCGCGTCGCCAGCCCGGCCCGGTCCATTCCTGCTCTCTGCACCAAGTCAGTGGTGCGCTTCGTCAGCCCGGTCCGGCCCGCTCCTGCTCCCCGCACCAAGCCTATGGTGCACGTCGCCAGCCCGGCTCGGCCTGTTCCTGCTCCCCACACCAAGCCAGTGGTGTGCGTCGTCAGTCCAGCACAGCCCGTGCCTGTTCCACCGGTGCCTGGTCCGGTACCGGTCAGCTGCTCCACGCCGGAGCTAAAGCAATCCGCTCCACCAGTGTTCAGTCCAGCTCCGGCCAGCAGGGCCAGACAGGACCAGGGGTACTTTGGGGGGTTAGAGAGGGAGTGGGGATCATGCCCGGAGCCGGATCCGCCGTCAAGGCGGAGTGCCCACCCGGTCCCTCCCCTGTGGTGTTTGGTTGGCGCGGTCGGAGTTCGCGCCTTTGGGGGGGGGTACTGTCACACCCTGGCTCTGGGGACTCTAATATGTTGAGCCAGGGTGTGTAGAGTCTATGTGTTTTGGTTCTACGTTCTATTCTAGTATTTGTGTTTCTATGTTGGCCAGTGTGGTTCTCAATCAGAGGCAACGAGTATCAGCTGTTGCTTGTTGTCTCTGATTGGGAGCCATACTTAAGCAGCCAGTTTTCCCACAGTGTTTGTGGGATCTTGTTCCTAGTAGGTTGTGTTTGATCTAAGGACGTCACGTTATCGTTTTGTTGTTTTCGTTCGTGTTATCTTTCAATAAATAAGTATGTTTGCATTCAACGCTGCGCCTTGGTCCTCTGTTCCCGACGATCGTGACACCAACAGTCATACAGACATATACTCAAAACTGTAAACGTACATGGCCATGTGAAGGCAGCACAAGGGAGAAGATTATTTCGATAAGGAAAAAGCCGTAGATTCCAGCGATGATTCCCAAAATCTTCCACAGATATTCCTTGCCCTCAGTAAAGTGATGGTCCTCCTGATGACTGTCGTGGTGGAGGCCAAGGATCTCCAAAGGAGACAGGGAGAGAAAACAATGAGACATTTAATCCACGCTTTGGTTGGGGGGGGCCCTTGCTCGAACCTTGCGGGAAACTGTGCTATGCCACTGTATGCCTGCCTCACTGCTCACATAGCCTAATGGAATTCGCAACACAATTCAACACAACAAGCTCCTGTTTCCGACCCGCAGTATAATTGTTCTGAACCGTTGTTTCTGTCTCACCTGTGTCCAGTCTGTGCTGATCCCCAAAGGCTCATGGCCACACTTTATATGGGAGGGGCCTGTGATGCTCCGCCTCTCCCTGCCATGGCACTTCCCCCTCCGCCTCCCACACCAAGCAGGTGCAGCAGCTCCTCCAAATCTACGCAACAGAAAGAGCACTGACATCGTCTAACTGCTCTTACATTACCACAGATCACTCAAATCCATATATGTATGCTAGATAGCTTTTTGGGCAAGTGTGCCCTCTATTCAACTTTATGGTCAAATCACTCATAGGAAGGACTCATTAATTTACCCATGATATGGAGTTTGCTGGTGCGGTTGAGGGACTGGAAGATGTAATCTGTGAAGAAAGCAGGGGGAGGGGAGGTTTGTTTTGCTGAAACAGTGGCATGGGTGATGATAGCTGCTGCCAGTTTGGACACGGAGAATAGATCAGCACCTTGGCTATCTGTGATCCCCACTTCATCCTGTAGATGGGAGGAATCAATGCACTGTAGGATGATGATATGTCGCAGGTTTACAACTGGACATATCTCCATGTACAGTATATGTTCTTCTTTAGTCTTCCAGCCTCCAGCTCTAGTTTTGATAACTGTATGCAGCTATTTCAACATGTGCAGATTGGGATGATGTTCTAGTTTTAAACACTATTTGAGAGAAGAGGTTATGAAAGTTGTGGCCCTGACTTACCTGTGAGTGGGAGGAACCAGAGTTCTCTGGAGCAGGCGGTTGGTAGTGCTGGTTGATGAGCTGCAGAATGCTCTCTGTCTCATTGGAAGAGAGGAAACCTCGGTCTTCAGTGGGATGGAGGTTGGTCAGGGCTAGGAGGTAGTACTGGTAGCTAGGTGACAAAGAGGAGGAGGAAGAGGAGGGGGAGACATTGGGGGTACATAGGTCTTCCATGTTGATCATGTAGTAGAGCAGAACAGTGGAGAATCTATGGAAGTCCTCCTCGGTGAGGTAAGCCTTGCCATCCTCGTCCAGGACAGAAAGGAATAGGTCTGGAGTGAGGCACTGGAAACACAGCAATGAAACATGGCATACAGTGTGTGCGACGCAGAGGAAATGTTGCAATATAAACATTTAAGCTGTTTGGCTAAGAAGTAAAACCTACTGGAAACTTGTGAAATGAGTCAGGCAGATAGGACTACAGTACAATTGACTTTCCCAAGTGGATTTACTGTGACTAATTTTAATCCAGATTAAACTGATCAGTCATATGTGAATATGGATAGAGTGATTAATAAGACATCAGTAAATGTGATTTAATTTTGGTTCTGGTACCGGTTCCGACCGACATTTACGCTTATAAATCGATCTGTGGATACCGTAGGTCAAAATGGCGTAATGTAATAGCCCTGGTTCCCAAGGACACAGGAGTATTTTTTCTGAGCCTGTGTGACATAGGATGTGGAATCTGAAACCACTTGAAGCTGGGAAGTCCCTCCTACCATTTCATTCGCTATTCCGACTGTCGATCAACTCCTGGCTGAACCATACATCACAGCCACTGACAAAGCACATGCCTGCAATCGTTACATCGTAGTGCAGCAGGAGAGAGTGGTGTCATCACATTCACAGATCGATTTGTAGCCATTCATCTAAAATAATTCATAGATTTTAAACAAAAAACACTTTCTGTTTATCATAGATGGACAAGATTAATATGAGATGAAAGGCGAGTCCTAACGAGTTCAGGAAGCCAAGCTAAAGCTCTGTGGGTGTCACGCCCTGACTCAGGGGACTCTTATATGTTGAGTCAGGGTGTGTATATTCTTTGTTGTGTATGTTCTATGTTGTATTTTCTAGTATGTGTATTTCTACAGTGAGGGAAAAAAGTATTTGATCCCCTGCTGATTTTGTACGTTTGCCCACTGACAAAGAAATGATCAGTCTATAATTTGAATGGTAGGTTTATTTGAACAGTGAGAGACAGAATAACAACAAAAAAATCCAGAAAAACGCATGTCAAAAATGTTATAAATTGATTTGCATTTTAATGAGGGAAATAAGTATTTGACCCCCTCTCAATCAAAAAGATTTCTGGCTCCCAGGTGTCTTTTATACAGGTAACGAGCTGAGATTAGGAGCACACTCTTAAAGGGAGTGCTCCTAATCTCAATTTGTTACCTGTATAAAAGACACCTGTCCACAGAAGCAATCAATCAATCAGATTCCAAACTCTCCACCATGGCCATGACCAAAGAGCTCTCCAAGGATGTCAGGGACAAGATTGTAAACCTACACAAGGCTGGAATGGGCTACAAGACAATCGCCAAGCAGCTTGGTGAGAAGGTGACGACAGTTGGTGCGATTATTCGCAAATGGAAGAAACACAAAATAACTGTCAATCTCCCTCGGCCTGGGGCTCCATGCAAGATCTCACCTCGTGGAGTTGCAATGATCATGAGAACGGTGAGGAATCAGCCCAGAACTTCACGGGAGGATCTTGTCAATGATCTCAAGGCAGCTGGGACCATAGTCACCAAGAAAACAATTGGTAACACACTACGCCATGAAGGACTGAAATCCTGCAGCGCCCGCAAGGTCCCCCTGCTCAAGAAAGCACATATACAGGCCCATCTGAAGTTTGCCAATGAACATCTGAATGATTCAGAGGAGAACTGGGTGAAAGTGTTGTGGTCAGATGAGACCAAAATCGAGCTCTTTGGCATCAACTCAATTCGCCGTGTTTGGAGGAGGAGGAATGCTGCCTATGACCCCAAGAACACCATCCCCACCGTCAAACATGGAGGTGGAAACATTATGCTTTGGGGGTGTTTTTCTGCTAAGGGGACAGGACAACTTCACCGCATTAAAGGGACGATGGACGGGGCCATGTACCGTCAAATCTTGGGTGAGAACCTCCTTCCCTCAGCCAGGGCATTGAAAATGGATCGTGGATGGGTATTCCAGCATGACAATGACCCAAAACACACGGCCAAGGCAACAAAGGAGTGGCTCAAGAAGAAGCACATTAAAGGATTGGAGTGGCCTAGCCAGTCTCCAGACCTTAATCCCATAGAAAATCTATGGAGGGAGCTGAAGGTTTGAGTTGCCAAACGTCAGCCTCGAAACCTTAATTTGGAATCTGATTGATTGATTGCTTCTGTGGACAGGTGTCTTTTATACAGGTAACAAACTGAGATTAGGATCACTCCCTTTAAGAGTGTGCTCCTAATCTCAGCTCGTTACCTGTATAAAAGACACCTGGGAGCCAGAAATCTTTCTGATTGAGAGGGGGTCAAATACTTATTTCCCTAATTAAAATGCAAATCAATTTATAACATTTTTGACATGCGTTTTTCTGGATTTTTTGTTGTGGTTATTCTGTCTCTCACTGTTCAAATAAACCTACCATTAAAATTATAGACTGATCATGTCTTTGTCAGTGGGCAAACGTACAAAATCAGCAGGGGATCAAATACTTTTTCCCTTTTGTACTGTGTACTTGAGCTTGTGTCCTCAAAAGTGACTACACCTCAGCAAATTATAACTATTTTTACTAGAAAGGTGGGATAAAAACGTATAATAGCGTTGATTGACGCACCGGTGCAACAATCGAAGTAACATAATAAAAAAATCCCAATCAAAGTCTGTCAGTATAAGTTTGCGATGAAAGGTGGCAGAGCTAAAACAGTGTTTGTCAGATCATGAGACATCCCGAAAATCGGTCTTCTCACGGAAACGTCTGTAGTATCCGAACGGTTTGCTCTACGACCCATCTGAAGTTGGTACCGTCGATGTGCCAACTTCTGTTTGTAGCGTCCGAACCGTTTGGATTACAAACTAATGTGACCCCACTGTGGAAAGGGGAGATTATCCGTTTTGCTTTACGACCCACAAGTGTCATGGAACTCGTCTGAAGGTAGCCGGTTTAAAAAATGTTATGGAAGTATGAAGGTAGTTTTGTGCCTACCTAAAAAAGGGGTTAAATATGTGTAAAAAATATATATTTATAATTTCCTGAGTTTTCTTATACCTCCTAGATCTAGGTCAAACACTTCAAAACCTTGTTTCTTATGATTAATTTTTTGACTGTCTTTTTTGCCATTTATCAATGTCACGGTTTCGGCCGAGGCGGCTCCTTCTCCTTGTTCGGGCAGGCTTCGGCGGTCGTCGTCTCCGGAGTACTAGCTGCCACCGTTCGATGTTTCATGTTTGATTGGTTTTGTCTGTTTGTCACACCTGTTTATTGTTTAGTGTTCATTAGGCACCCTATTTAGTTCTCTTGTGTTTGTCAGGTGTTGTGTGTAATTGTCCTGCTGTCACGTGTTGTGTTTTTTGGTCCTCTGTATTTGCGCTCTCTTATTTTTGTGTTTTGTAAGAGAGTCCTGCACGTTGTGCTTTATTACTTTGGACAATCTAGTGTGCGTTTGTTTTCGCCTGTGGCCTGTTGCCGTGTTTGGCGTGTACCACGGACTTTACTAAAGACATTTGGCTTTGATCTCTGTGTCCTGCGTGTGATTCCACGTTCCACTACACTCCACCTTGACAGAATTACACACCATATATGGAATCAGCAGGAGCACCCGCACCCCCCGAGATCATGGAGGAGCGCCTTCGTGGTCAGGAGGATCGCATCAATCAAATCGGGCACGCCCTAGACCGCGTGATGAACACCCTCCATCGATGGGAGACCAGCAGGGTACCCACACCCCCACCTACCGCACCATCACCATCGGTCAGCCCGCCCGTCCAACTACCGGAACCCAGTGGAATTCGGCTCTCGCTCCCGAGGGCATACGACGGCACCGCTGCCGAGTGTCAGGGGTTCCTGTTACAAGTGGAACTCTACCTTGCCACCGTACACCCGGCGCCCTCGGGACACGAGAGCGTTTCCGCCCTCATCTCCTGCCTCACCGGCAAGGCGTTGGAGTGGGCCAACGCCGAATGGAGGAGAATAGACGCCGCCACTATCACCTACGCGGAGTTCTCCCGCCACTTCCGTGCTGTGTTCGACCATCCACCAGAGGGGAAGGCGGCGGTGGAGCGTCTATTCTACCTCCGGCAGGGGATGAGGAGCGCACAGGAATTTGCGCTGGAGTTCCGGACTCTAGCGGCAGATGCAGGGTGGAATGAGCGGGCCCTCATAGACCACTTCCGTTGCAGCCTCCGGGAGGACGTCCGCAGAGAGTTGGCGTGCAGGGATACTACACTCTCATTCGACCAGTTGGTGGACATGGCCATTCGGCTGGACACCCTGCTCGCTACCCGCGGACGTCCCAAGTGGGGGTCGCCCATTCCACCTTCCAGCGCCTCCGAGCCGAGCCCGATGGAGCTCGGAGGTGCTGGCGCTAGAGGAAGGAGAAGAAGTCCCCTGCACCAACTGTGGCCGTGGAGGGCACACCGCGGCTAGGTGCTGGGGAGGGTCCCCTAGTGGGGGAGACGGCCGACCATACATTGGGGAGTCCTCCCAGGTGAGTAGACGCTCCACTTACCCAGAGCTTTCTGTCGTACACATAACTATACCTGTTTGTTTTCCACAGGTTGCACCTCGTTCCCAGCATAAGGCGCTAGTAGATTCAGGCGCAGCTGGGAATTTTGTAGATCGCAAATTCTGTGTAGAGTTAGGGATTCCCCTCCTTCCTGTTAATAATCCTTTCCCTGTACATGACCTAGATAGTCGTCCGTTAGGATCTGGGTTGATTAGGGAGGTCACAGCGCCACTTAGGATGGAGACGCAGGGGGGTCATGAGGAGACGATTCAGCTCTATCTGATCGACTCTCCTGCGTATCCGGTGGTACTGGGGCTTCCCTGGTTGATTACCCATGATCCAACTATTTCGTGGCGAGAGAAGGCTCTTAAATGGTGGTCTGCTCAGTGTGAGGGGCTATGTCTGGGTGTTTCCGTAGGGGCGACCTCGGTGGAGAGTCCGAACCAGATGCCCGCACTGCACATTCCACCTGAGTATGAGGATTTGGCACTCGTGTTTAGCAAGACAAGAGCGGCACGGTTGCCGCCTCATAGACAGGGGGATTGTGCGATAGACCTCCAGGCAGGAGCTGCGCTC